ATAATTCCTGTGTAGCTCTCCGTACGTTTAAGAAAAGCTGTTGTGGGTAATGGAAAGCCAGCAAGGCGACAGCAAACACTTGACTAAAGCCGGCCAGACAACAGTAGAATGTCTCTCACAACAAATTGTCTTCGGAATGTCCGTTGGATCTTCTGATAGTTAATGGGGTCAAATCGATGATCGTTTTCGACTGTCGTTGCTCGTTGCCGCCAGTTCCTGCCCACCAGGGCGCTTGTTGTGCATCTGCAACATGGCACATGGACCATGGTGTCCTGTGGCACCGCCGAATGATACCTTGATAAGTCCAACTGGAGTCACAGATATAGATATCCAGACAGACACACGTTGTACCAACAATCTCCATTTTCATAGTCTCACCACCACTTTCCTGTAACAGAAGTGTTAGGGGCCTGTGTCATGGGGCTTTCCCTCTCTCACAGGGGTTTACATTCCCCATACATTTCTATGTGAATGCAAAACCTGCTTCAAGCACTTCAATACAGATCAGAAGGAGGTCAGGTGCAGGTCAAATGCACCTGTCAATTAATTCTGAATGATCTCAGAATGATGTCATGTTGATGCCTTCAGCACGAGCCTAAACCCAACCCAACAGGCCCTTCATAGTGCCGCACAGTCCAACTGGCAACAGAACTTGACCACACTGCCCAGTGCACTCTGTTATCTAACAGACCTGGTCAAACACGCCTCTTCTTTGGTCAGGCACGCCTCTTCCCTGGTCAAACATGCCTCTTCTCTGGTCAGGCACGCCTCTTCCCTGGTCAAACACACCTCTTCTTTGGTCAGGCACGCCTGTTCCCTGGTCAAACACACCTCTTCTCTGGTCAGACACGACTCTTCCCTGGTCAAACACGCCACATCTTTGGTCAGGCATTCCTCTTCCCTGGTCAAACACACATCTTCTTTGGTCAGGCATTCCTCTTCCCTGGTCAGGCACTCCTCTTCTCTGGTCAGGCACTCCTCTTCTCTGGTCAGGCACTCCTCTTCTCTGGTCAGGCACGCCTCTTCTTTGGTCAGGCACACCTCTTCTCTGGTCAAACACCCCTTTTCCCTGGTCAAACACTCCTCTTCTTTGGTCAGGCACACCTCTTCTCTGGTCAGGCACTCCTCTTCTCTGGTCAGGCACGCCTCTTCTTTGGTCAGGCACGCCTCTTCCCTGGTCAAACACGCCTCTTCTTTGGTCAGGCACGCCTGTTCCCTGGTCAAACACACCTCTTCTCTGGTCAGACACGACTCTTCCCTGGTCAAACACGCCACATCTTTGGTCAGGCATTCCTCTTCCCTGGTCAAACACACCTCTTCTTTGGTCAGGCACACCTCTTCTCTGGTCAGGCACTCCTCTTCTCTGGTCAGGCACGCCTCTTCTTTGGTCAGGCACGCCTCTTCTCTGGTCAAACACACCTCTTCTCTGGTCAAACACACCTTTTCCCTGGTCAAACACACCTCTTCTTTGGTCAGGCACACCTCTTCTCTGGTCAGGCACTCCTCTTCTCTGGTCAGGCACGCCTCTTCTTTGGTCAGGCACGCCTCTTCCCTGGTCAAACACACCTTTTCCCTGGTCAAACACACCTCTTCTCTGGTCAGCAACATCTGATCCCTGGTCAGACACGTCTCTTTCCTGGTCAGACACGCCTTTTCCTTGGTCAGCCACGTCTCTTCCCTGGTCAGCCAAGTCTCTTCCCTGGTCAGACACGTCTCTTTACTGATAATGTGGCAGAAATGATCTTGGGTTATACCCGGTCAGGAGCGCGATGGGATCTACTTGAATTACTCTTCCCTGGTAAGACCCATCTCTTTCCTGGTCAGATACGCCTCCTCTTTGGTCAGGCATGCCTCTTCCCTAGTCAGACACGCCTCTTCCCTGGCCAGACACACCTCTTTTCTGGTCAGACATGTCTCTTTGCTGGTCAGACACTCCCACTTTCCCCCTCTCTTCCCCAGCACTGCATGAGGATACCTGTAATGATGGGTGTCCTCCACCAGATTAAAGAGAAATTCCAACCATCAGTCAATAGCTCACCACACACGTCACTGTCTGATTGTACCATTATTTTACTACTACCAATAAGTATGTAGTATAAGGGTCTGCCTGATAGGATGCAGATTGATTGGATAGATTAGATGGGCCCTCATATTAGATAGTTTTGGTAGATCTAAAGTTGAATGTACATTGATCGTATTGGTCAGATTGTAAGGTGTGTAGTGAGCCAATGGCCTGCTGTTGACTTGTATGCAACAAAAACTACAACTGAAAGTCCACTCAATGTACATGAACCCGAGATTTATGGTAATCCTCTATAGGCGTCAGACGTCACAGAGTTCCTCACATGTGCAGTGGGTGCGTCTGCCTTCTCAGGTCTGTGCTGTGCTTGATGTCTCACCAATCATATGGAGGGGATTAGACAAGTTTACTCCTGAGACGTGTTCCCTCTATATACATCTTCAGGTTTTATCTTTGGTTTGGACTGGGGTTTATGGACTTAAACAGGAGACATACCGGTGCTACCCACAGAAGGTTTGTCTGCTCTCGGGCGGTCAAGTCACTTAACACCACAGCCGCCATTGGAAACATGAGCTCAGGAGGCATCTACCTCTTCCCTTCTACCTGTATGCAGTGCAATGTAGAGAGAGACCCTTAATTCTGCACCCCTTCCCCAACAATGGAGAGTGGATTGAGAACTCTACAAAAAAGCTGCAAAGTTTCTGGACATAAATAGATATTGTCACTCGTGAGGATTTCATCATTTGCAGAACATAGCTGTACATACTACTTGCGCTGGCCTGGGTTCTTCTAACTGAATGCTTGGAGCGCCACCTAGTGTCTGATAGAGAGTATGACCGTATGACCCATCCAGGACACAATCCTTGACACTGGTTTTCATTCTGATACTTTTGTTAAAGGAGAACTATGAGGGGGAGGGGGGGTGTTTTTCACTCACCTCATAGTTCTAGCCGACCTGTGACAATGAGAATGTCACAGGTCGGCTCAGTAGATCGGGAGGTGAGCGAACACATACCGGCGTTTGCTCACCTCTCGATCCTGTCACGGCTCTCTGCCGTGACAGGGGAGGGGCTGCATTCCCCTCTCTCCGCTCCGATAGCGCTGACTGGCGGAACGGACGGGGGAGGGGGCAGGTACAGTTGGCTCTGCCTCTAGATAGGCAGAGCCAGCTGTCACTCACACAGCTGGGCGGATCCCGGCACAATTGTCGGGATCCGCTTCAGCATCTCAGTATATAGCGAGCTACAGCTTGCGGTATACTGAGCCTAGGGTGACGGGAAGACGCTAGTTTGTGTCCTCCTGTTACCCTAAGGAGAACTATGGGGAAAAGCCCTGACCCCATAGTTCTCCTTTAAGTAAATACCATTGACAGCAGTCCTTGAAAGCCCCAGAAGTGTAAATTTTCTGTATACAAGTTTATTATTTACTATATTAGTGTATATTTGTTATATCCAAAGCTATATAAGCTGTTACCGTATATACGCAGCCTGGCCCCAAAAAACAAAAAAAATGTAAAACCTGGATTTACCTAAACAAATAAGTAAGAGCCTTCCATTGGATAATTACTGCAGCAATTAATATTTCCATCTATTATGTCCCCCAAAAAATGAGGCCAGCTGCTTATCTGAATCTACTGAATGATCAGGTTTTTCCGAGCCTGGGTACTCGAAGTGATGAGGGGGTTCCAGAGCTGACTTATGGAGGTTTGGGATCCACCCGAGCCTCTGCAAGGTCCGGTCAGTCTGAAGGATGTTTCAGAAGAAGGCCGTCCAGATATCCCACCATCAGGCTGCCCTGAGAGAGAAATAGTTACATAGTATTTGAGGTTGAATAAAGACATATGTCCATCAAGTCCAACCTGTATGTTCTCATTCTTTTAGAGTACTTGTACGCCTGTATATTACGGTCCCTTAGGAAATCGTCCAATCGCCTCTTGAATGATTCCACACTCTCAGCCGAAATCGCAGCACGTGGCAGCGAGGTCCAGACCCTGACCGATCTGACTGAGAAGAAACCCCTTCGCCGCTTGTGCTGAAATGTTTTCTCCACCAATTTTAGGCGGTGGCCTCTCGTCCTTGTCATGGAGTTAATTGTAAAGAGTTTGCTGCTGATGTTACTATCCCCGGTAAACATTTTGTACATGAAAATCATGTCCCCCCTCAATCTCAATCACTTCCAATGAGAACATGTTTAGATTTAGTAGCCTGTTCTCATAGCTCAGGTCCTCCATCCCCTTTATGAGTTTGGTTGGCCTCCTCTGGACTCTTTCCAGTTCAGAATGGTAAGAGCAGGTGCTAGCAGCTTAGTGAAAACCCAAGGTACAGTGGGCAGACCAAAGGGAGTGCCCACCACAAAATGAAGATTTCTTCAGCTCTGCTGTTTTGAAGACTAACCTGTGATTGGTTGGACATCCTGGGCCTAAACTCCATCCATTAATTGCCAACAGAATTGACTTTGGTACCAGTGGCGTAACAATCGCCATAGCGACCCAGGCGGCCGCTATGGGGCCCGGGCACAGGGGGCCCTGGCCAGGGC